ACCGGCGCGGCCCGCTGGGTCCGGCTGAACGTGGGCGGCACCTACTTCGTGACCACCAGACAGACCCTAGGCCGGGAGCCCAAGTCTTTCCTCTGCCGCCTCTGCTGCCAGGAAGACCCGGAGCTGGACTCGGACAAGGTGCGCCCCGCCCTCGGGCGCGCCCCCGGCCTTCGGACCCCCTCGTTTCTCCTAGGCTGGTCCCCAGATTCCTGGGACACGCGTCTCACAGGCGTTTCCTTGGGCCTGGACCCCCTCCCCTCCGCTTCCCCCAGCAGGCTAACCCCGGCAGCTATTCTCGCCCACCCTCAGGCGCACCCAGGGTTTCCCTCCGACCCCGCCCTTCGTTCGGGTCTCAGAGACTCGTTCCCCGCACTGCCCACCGGCACCCGCGAGAACCCACTCCACACCCCTTCTCCGTATTCCTCTCTACGCCTCCCGGTCCCTCAGATCGGCATGAGTTTTTCCCTGGCTTCTCGTCTGTCCCTCACTGCCTGTGCCAGATACACCCAGAACTGGGTCAGGGTGAGCCGAGGCGTCTTTGTAGCTTTCTCAGACCTCCTCTCGGACCCTCTGCCAAGTTGGGTGAAAGCCTGGGTTAGAGGATGGCTTCCACAGCTGCAGGAAGTGCTTCTCATATCACACTTCTTTCCTGCGGTCGTGGTCCCTGAGCTGGAAGCTGGTAACAGTCACTGTTTTAGGTCCGTATTTGAGATCTGACCCATTCCTTGGAAAGCGGTTACCATTTCCAGTGCAAACCTAAGACCCAGGGAAAATGAAAACAGGAATGCTGTTGGGCAAGATGCATGGCTGCTAACCAAAGGGTTGAGAGGTCCCAAGATACTTAACCCATTTCCAGTTTGAACTGGTGTTTGAATTTTTTTTAACTTTAGACGTTCATCTTTTAGCTCCCAACATATAGGAATTGACCATTGCCTACACTATCTTATATCCCATGTAGCATTCAGCCTGTTACCTTGAGACTGACTTGGGGTTGGGTAAACATTGATTGATTTTTCATCTCTTACCTCTCCTCTAATGAATCTCACATTGATGGAAACCGGCAATGCCCTAATTTTAAAGTATAGAGATGCCAAAACCCTTGCTTATAAAGGAATTGTTTTTATCTACCCTAAGTCTTCCTTATTGCAGTAGAAGCCAGTTTATTCTTGTTTATTTTATTGTAAAGATGAGTAGGATTAAAACTGCTCAGAGCCAAGTCCTGGCAGTGCCAAGCTTCCTCTGGACACAGAGCTGGGGTGTGTGAGGTACAGCTGGCAGTGCAGACTTTCACTGATGTTGGCCTTGATTGAGCTCAGGAGCATTGCCAACTAAACAGGTTTTCTTAGAATTAGGAATGTGATTTGGGGGCAGTGGAGAATTCAGAATGTCCATCACAAGCAAAGATTTAACCGCAACTATGGCTCCCCTCCCCCCCCCTTTATAACAAAGAGCCCACAGAAAAATTGTGACCACGTAAATATTTTAGAAGTTCAAGTAAACACTTACATGATATGACTGTACATCTGGAACACCCCACCTTAAATGATCTTAAAGTATGAAAACAAAACTAGCTTTCTTGCCAGTAGTTTGTGATAAGCAAACCTCTGCTAAAACTTGCCCTCTCACTAATGAATTGTGACAGGTTGAAACCCTGTCCTGACTTGGTCTGAAAGCTCCACAGTGATACACTTGTGTTTGGTTGGCAGGACGAGACAGGGGCCTATCTGATTGACAGGGACCCCACCTACTTCGGCCCTATCCTAAACTACCTCCGGCATGGGAAACTCATCATTACGAAGGAGTTGGCAGAAGAAGGTAAGAACAATGAACCAGGCATTTTCAAAATTCAGGCTGACTCTGCTTCACAGCTTTGAGTTTTATTTTGAGACTTTCATCGAGCTCATGTGCAGGTTTAGTAAAGGTCTGTGAAAGTAAGCAGGGAGCCTCCAGTTACCTAGTGGCGTCTGAGGAGTCTTATTTAAGGGATCCTCTCCCGGCTCTATTCGTCCTTCTTAGTAGAAGGAAAAGAGATAGCTCAGCTTTGCCGATAGCTTTGGGAGTTCTTCCAAACCTGCAGAATTGTCAGGATTCCTCTTTACATTTGCTTATGTGCTAACAGTGACTGTCCATAGCCTGAAGAACACATTTCTGATATTTAGTTATTTATATTTTCGATTTTAGTTTGAACTTGCAGCTGTAAAGAAGTAATAAAGGCTTGGCCTCATTTCTTTCAAGACTGGTCTCATGCCTCCTTGTCAATTTTTGCAACTGACCTAATTCATTCTCCAGTCCATTTGGTGCATCATCAGTGGCCTCATCTTTTTGGTTTTTAGGGCATTTGGACTGTAAGTGGGTCTATATATCTTTCTAAAAGGTTTGTTTGGCTTGGTCTCATCGAAGACATTCAGCTGGAGATTGGGGCCTTCTCTAAATCCAGGGCACGTAATCAGGGAGTGTTAGCTCTGAGTAAGAAAGCTGTAATGGCTGCTAGTTAATTAAGTGGCTGCAAAACACCTCTGTTTCAACCAATAAAAAGAAGACTTGCTCTCTCTTTTTTAAAATGTCCTCTTTAAAACAAACAAACAAAACATTTCAAATGTATACAGAGGTAACGGGCATAGTACAGTACATTCCATGCACCCACCATCCAGCTTCAACAATTGCCAACTCATGGGTAGTCTTGTTTCTTAAAAAGAGGAATCTCAAGCATCTTTTCTAATGCCTTTTCAAAACTTTTATTTTGAAATAATTTCAGACTTAGAGAAAAGGGCAAGAATAGTACAAAGAACTCCCTTCACCCAGATTCACCAATTTTTAACATTTTTTTGTCATGTTCATTCATTCTCTCCTCATTCTCTTCCTCCTGCCTCTCCTCCCTCCACCCCTCCCACAGGTTTATTTCTGAGCTATTTGAGAATAGATTCCAGATTTCACCCCTTAATACTTCAATGTATAGTTCCCAAGGACAATTATATGCTCTTACATAACCACAGTATAGTTATCAACTTGAGGAAGTTTAATATTGATAAATACTTTTATCTGTAGCTTATTTTCCGATTATGTCAACTATTCCAATAATGGCTTTTATAGTTCATTTTTTTTCCTGGTGCAGGATCACACATCCCATGTAGTTGTCCTGTCTGAGGCCTTTGATTTTATGTAGCATGGGAGTCTTTCCATGATTGCCTTTTATATTGTTCAAATAATAAGCATTCTATTAAATTTGGGCCACGTATATTTATACACACCACCCGCCCCTGGTCATTTTTAGGACAAACTGCTGCAAGCTCAGATAAAAATTGCAAGCTCAGGAGTTGTCCAATGTGACTAGTTCCAGGAAGTAAGTGACATATGGTCAAGGTATCCTGCAGCTAATGGGTAGCTACGGAGAGAGTCAGGGAAGGTACCAGGTGGGAAACTAAGGGTGAAACGGAGTGAACAGGGTAGACCCTTCTTCTTGACTCCCTTCCACTGGGGAAAAGGTAATGGGTGCACCCTAAACAGCAAAGAAACGTCCCAGGCTGAGGGAGAGAGACTAGACTTGCATTTGAAAAACGCAGTCCTTAGCAAGCATGTAAACTCCAGCGTTTCTTGCTGTCCTCTGGGGGATTCACACGCATCTCTAACTACAGCTTGGTCCTTGTTCTAGGTGTGCTGGAAGAGGCAGAGTTTTACAACATCGCATCTCTTGTGCGGCTGGTTAAGGAAAGGATACGGGACAATGAGAACAGAACTTCACAAGTAATGGGTTTTGGCCTCTTCAGGGGAAACTATCTCAAGTGGTCCTCTGTCCGTGTGTCTGGGTGTGATTAGGAAAGGGTGATTTGCCCTCGGAGCCTGAGATCTGTGTGGAAGACTGTGCATCTGTCAGGCAGACAGCGTATACTCCACCAGACTTGTTCAGAACAAAAAAACAGAGAAGTAACAGAGAAAACAAAACAACCTCCCATCCCTTTGGAAGAATGGGGAGGGTGTGGCTATTCACCATATGGCAGTGGGAGGTCCCAACCTGCTAGATGGAGCATCTGTCTCCCTCCACGTAAAGCCCAGGCGAGGTCTTGCTTGCGCCTGTCGGCTGCTCTTTATTAACACTAGCCTTTAATATGTGACCGTGTCACATCTGGCTCCTGCCAGCCACTTGAAACCAGTCTCATGGTGTAGACCAGAAACTGCTTATGAATTGTGCTTCTGAGAAAATAGTATCAAACTTCTCATTTTATTAGGAAGTCTAGATTTTGATATTAACTCAGATATAGTAACAGAAATGAAATGCAGTTTGCCACCTAGTTTGAAAAGGGAAGACAGTAGAGCATATTTGGCTTATTTCATGTCACATCACCCACCCATCATGTGTCTTAAGTGGCCACAGTAGCTTTTATTCGGCCCTTGGGTTTCTATGACCAGGAGAAGTTCAGTGCTCTCAAGAAGCTTGAAGTCTAGCAGGAAAAACTGACACTCCCTTTCATGTATTTAAGCTCTGTTTTAGGTACAACTACAGTAACAGAGAAGGGTCAGACTTCAGTGGGACCATCTGTCCTGTAGCATGCCGTGCCTCCTACTCCATCAGATTCGGGTGGTGGAGGCTTTCTCGAGGTCTAGTTCTATTGCAGTGTAGAATTTTCCTGTGATTAAGAAGAGGGCAGTTCGTTTCTTTTCCACCTTAAAATACGGTTCCTTGCTCCTTCTGTGTTAGACTTCACATATCAAAGTTCTCTGGCTCTGAATGGATTATCTGGTTGAATAACTGACACCTGTGATAAAAAATGAACCCTCTTGTCACTTTATCTCCAGCAGTTTGCAAAGATGGAAAGAGGGCTTATCCATTTAGTTCTTTCATCTGGCCAAGGGCTAATGGGCTCCTTTAATATTCAAAGATGAATATCTAGTTGGTTTGCAAATTACCAATGAAATAGGATCTAGTGTCGCCAAGCTTTTTGCCACCTCATATTACATTTTCCAGCTAACGGGAAGCCCACTCATTCTATCGAAAAAGTACTAAGTAAGTGTTCATGATTCTTAAGGGAACGGTGCATATTTTCTTAATATTGTGATTGAACATAACTCATCCCTCTCCATGACTGAGCATTGGTGTTATGAACCTCTGTTGCTGTTTGTGCTCCATCAAATGCCCTGTGCCCTCCAGGATGGGCACTGGGTATGCAGCTGTTGGACCCAACCCCACATCGTCCCAGGCTGCTTCCCAGGCTGCTTAACAGAGTGTTCCTGTGTGGCTGTAACTATCCTGTGAACAAGAACTTTCATCTGAGCACATCTCCCTGCAGCAACCCTTGCCTCCCGGACTCTGGCTTCTAACCCCCTCCCCCCAAGTTGTAAGTGTGAATTCTGTGGTTAAGTGTAGGGGCCTCAGTGCTGCAGCTTTGGGGCAGCCACTTAGCCTTTGGGCTTCCGGTTCTAACTTACATTTTAGAGAGTTGAGTCTGGTTAACAAATGACTTCTCTCTGGATTTCTGACAATACCTGGGTGTCCCAAGATTTCAGTTTTATTCTGACAAACTACCTGGCTATGGAGTTTCCAGGCTCAGTGTTTCCAGGCTCAGTGTCACAAAACTGCCCTCACTCCAGGCATCAGTCCTGAGTCCTGAGTTCCCAGGCTAACTGCACTGGCTACAAATTCAAAGTCTGTTCATGGTTGTTGCAGGGCCCCGTGAAGCACGTATACCGAGTCCTGCAGTGCCAAGAAGAGGAGCTGACACAGATGGTCTCTACTATGTCTGATGGCTGGAAATTTGAACAGGTATGTTTCTTAAGCAGTACAACCCCAGTGTCTCAGCCTGGAAGTCCACACTCTTCAAACATTGCCCTCCATAGCCAAGTTAATAACCCCCAGGAGTTCAGTAGGACTCCAAGTCATCCTGTTCAAAAGCATAGGAAAAGAGAGCCCCTCAGTGTGGAGTATTTGCTCAGTAGTATGTGGTCAGTCGGGAGAACTGAAAATAGTATCTTGTCTCCCAGCTTCATAGCCAAAGTTTGAACTTGATTGTGCCCAAGGGAGCTGGCCACCTTGTTTAGGCTTGAAGTGACTCTCTCTGGGTTTTTTAATTTACTGATTTTGAGAGAGGAAGGGAGAAGAGAGAAATATCGATGTGAGAGCACAACATCGATCACTGCCTCCCACACGCCCCCGCCAGGGATCAAGCCCGCAAGCCTTCGGTGCACAGGGTGATGCCCAACTAACTGAGCCACACCAGCCAGGGCTCGCTCTGTTTTTTTTCCTCTCCCAGAGGGGTTTTCCAGAAATGCTTGTTGATACATTCTAGAATAATTACCTAAAGAGACCAGGATTCATCAATAACTCTTCCTTTCCTTGCCCCAGGGTGAGAACCTTATGATCCTGAATATATGCATAATCCGCAGAGAAAGCTTGGTGAGCGGGGGTCATAGCCTAGGAATCAAACATGTTATCAGACTGCAGATTGCTGTTCTTTTAGCTTTGAGCTTATGGCCAAGGGATCAAAACAAAGCCAAAGGGGCAGGATTTTACTGCTCTTTTCCATTAGGTGGCAGACTTGTTCTGTTCATCTATTGTCTTCAAAACCCAGGGCCCTGAGCATGGACAAAATGAATATGTTATAATTTTATATGGATCACGCCTGTTTTTACGTAGAGTTTAAGAGGTCAGTTGAATTGTCACCATAAACTTACCTTCCCAGAAGTTCCTTTTTGTGTCTCTGTCTTCAGAACCAATACTGGCTTGTTTCTCCCACTTACCTCCCTCTGTAGAATCAGTTCTGCAAAGGGTATTATAAAAGCCTTTTTAAAGTGTTCTTTGTGAAACCAATGAATACTTTTTATCTTATTTTTCTCATCTTATTAATGCTCTGTAGATGCTCCCAGTGACTCTATTATATGGATGAGGAAGTCAAGGCACAAAGGGGCAGAGGCGTCTGCAGACCAGCCACATGGTCATGGTCCCCTGACTTGCAGCCCTGCGGGCTCGCCAGGAGGACCTCGCCCTTGGGCTCAGCTGCCTCCTGCATGTATATTTGCTGCTTAGAGTTAAAGCCTGAATTCAGTTCTCCAAAAAGGTGAAAACAGCCAGTGCGTGTGGCTTATGGTAGCTCTCCAGTGATTTTCCTGGTGCTCTCCAGAGCCTTCTGGGTGCTAGGCTCCTGTCTGGCACTTCTTACAGATGAGCCAGCCTTGTGTAGGTGTTTTGGCTGAAGCCAGTGTCCATTTTTATTCACAGAAACACTATTTCACCTTCACGTTTGCTAGAAGGAGCATGATCATGTTAATCCTAGCTGCTGCCTTGGGGATGCTTCTGTTGCTCGAGTGAGGGGGACAGTGGCAGAACTCCTACTGTTTCCTCTGGCGAAGCCCTGCTGATGGTGCCCTGATGAGTAGCCGAGACCTGGGCAGTCCCAGGGCTGTCCATCCTCCAAGGAGCGCGGTTACCGATTTCCCTGAAAGGGTTCATGTATGTGGCACTTAGCGCTTTACGGCCCCTGTGTTCACCATGTCCTTGTCTTATCAGCTGATCAGCATCGGGTCTTCCTATAACTATGGGAATGAGGACCAGGCGGAATTCCTCTGTGTCGTCTCCAGAGAACTGAATAATTCCACCAATGGCATTGTCATAGAGCCGAGCGAAAAGGCAAAGGTAAGAAGGCGCTTCACCATGACCTCATCTCTGACAGTTCACTCCCAGCCCCTCCGTGGACTTTGCCTGCTTTCTTCCTGTCCCTTCTCAAGCCAGCTTTGTGGTTCCCCTTCATCTGGGTCTTTTGACTCTTATAACTTAAATCAAGAAAGAGCGGTTTTAGTTAGGAAACATGATCCGAAATAGGGCAGACCCTTCCCAGCCTCTGTCAAACCAGTGATACAGAATAGCTCATTGCCACTCATTACTCCAGAGTCAGAATTCAGAAACTCAGAATCGGAAAGTATTTTGCCTTTATTATTGGAAACTTCTTTTTTTTCCTGCTGCCTCAAGAGAAAAGGTATTTGGTTACCTTTGTGACTTCTTATGTTAACTGGAAAACTGTTGTCCACTGTTATCTTTTTCTCCTGTGGGCCCCCCTCAGACACACTCACACACTTAAGTCGCCAGCATGCGTTGTGCCTGAGCCATTTCCTTGAGCACCGGAGAAGCAGGCCCACAACACAACTGGCCCCGCCATGTTCAGCTGGAGTCTTACAACCAGAGCGCTTTAGGTGGGGTGGGGCTCCCATCCTGCCTTGCGTCCTGGGTAACAGGAATTATTACTGTGGTTGGTGGCAACTGTGGGTCTCCCTGGTTTCCCTCAGCGGTCTGCTTGGCAGCTCAGCAACTGGGCCTAAAAGCAGTCTGCACCCAGAGTCCAAGCCTCAGCCCCTCCCCCATCTTCCTCTTGCAGATTCTTCAGGAGAGAGGATCTCGGATGTAGACTCCAGAATCCTAAACATCAAGAGAGCAGCCCGGCAGAGCACATCTGTGAAGTTAAATCTTGCTCCTGTACAGTAACCGAGCTACTGCAAAGCAAGGCTGAGCCTGGCCCCCCGTGGAGAGTGTTCTGGTCAAACCAAAGGAACCCCCACCCCACCCACAGGAACCTGAAGACAGATGCAACTTCCAGCTGCAGAATACCTTTTCGGAAACCTGCTTTTGTGTTCTTAGCCAGTGTTATAACAAATCTTTACAACTGCATCTGGGCTGGGTTCCCAGCTGGAGCCCTTCTGGGGACAGGAGAGGGGAGAGGAAGGCCTGCTCCTGGTCCATGCCTGTGCAGGGAAGCCGGAGCAGATGGAAGAGGGTTGTCCCTGAGCCGTGCCGCGCCCTGAGTGCCATGGTGGACAATGGCGGCTAGCTGTTCTGTAACACTCCCTTCCCCTTCCTTCTGTGCACCCCTACTAATGTAGCAGACGCACAGGATTCTAGCTCCCTTTCCCCGAACTGAATCGAGGGTTTTGCTAAAGGACAGAGTTGCCAGAGTACCCCGCATTCCTATGAACTAAGCCTCTTTGAGGAAAGGGAGGGTGGGGCTTCCTTGCTTATGGTAGGAAGTTGGGGATTGCTGCCCGGGGTTGGGGCATTCAGCTGCTGCCACACGGCTTTGCCCCATTTTTCTCCAGCATCCTGGACCCTCTAGGTGGCTTGCTTTCTTCCCCGGAAGAGGTTTGAGGCAGGCAGCACTCTGCACTGGGTTAGACAGACACGCGGGAGCTGTAGGTAGTTGGTATAACTGCTTCTGCAGACTTCTTCCCCTCCATTGGTCCTCCTTCCTTTCCTGACTTTTTAAACTGGAATAAAGGGACTTTGGACCCTCTGGTGGCTTAGCGTGGGGACGGCTGTTTATTTGAGAGTTGCCAAATGTGTTGTTGTTGTGTCCAAAGTGTTGTTTCTGTGATTGTCTCTTGGAAATGCCTTGGCTGAACTTGTGCTATTTGTTTGCGTCCCTTGGTTTCTGACTTTGGCAGTCCTGCCCCGCAGCCATGTCAGTGACTCACACCTTCCCACTAGTGTGTATGTGTTTGCTGGGCAGTCTGAGGACTCCCCACATCCCTGACCCAACTTCACTGTCCCTTCTTTCTATGGAGTGCCATGTCCTTAAGGATCAAACGCTTGTTTGACCTGGGTGAGCAGAGCTGTGACCGCAGAGCTTGTACCTGGACCCTCTCTGAGCTTTTGAACCTTGGAGAGCAGTTGTTGAACACACGGGGGCCTGAGAATCCTTGTTTTCCCCCTTGACTCTCATAGTGCAGATGGTCCAGAGAAGGGGAAGGTGTCTCGGGAAAGCTCCATCTGTAAAAGCCACCTTGAGCCGGTCGCTCCTGGTTCCTTCAAAGCTGAGGTTGTCTGCTCCACAGTTCAACTGCTTGCTAGGTGGGTCTGGGGTTGTAATTTTGGAAATGACTGTAGACTGTGCCAAATGTCTTTTGAGTTTGTGACCTGCACATGCCCAGGATTCTCACTTTGACCTTATTTCTCTGTGTGTAAAGTAGGGTAGAAGTAGGGGGGTTCTGCACACCAGCCTGAGCATACATGTTGGCACCTCAAGTCTGGCACCTGCCTAGGATTTATAAAGGTCGTGGGCACCCATCCTGTCATCTTTCAGGAAAAAAAAAAAAGATTTGAGTGTGTCAGAGAAAGCTGCTCTGACCAGAGGACAGAGGACTGGAAGAGGTGTCGTTTGCCAGTAGGAATAAATGATGTCAGACCGAAAGGAGCAGGAGCCCCAGCAGCCGTGCTTCCCTGGGGGGTGCCTGATAATCTGCCTCCTCCCAAGCTGGCGAGGAGGAGTGAGGGCTGGAGGGCGGGCCTGGGCAAGCCCCGCAGGAACGCATTGTACCTCTATTTCTCCTTTCAGGATTCCACAGTGGGCCCTGTAAAAAGGCTGCTGAACCCCTTGCTAAGCGCTCTGAGCACAGACATAAGTGACATTTCTTATCTCCTAGAGGACTGGCTTTCACCAGGTTTCCCTCCTCCTGGCAACCCAGCGACAATTTAAATGATTCCAGTGCTCCAGGAATGTCAGGATGGTTTGTTTCGCAAGGTTTCAGGAAAAGCATTTTACCCAAATGCTTATGGACCAAGTGGGTGTTTTCCTTAAAAGGTCTCCTCCCCCAGTGCCCTGCAGAGCCTGCCTGATAACTTCAGAGAGACGTGTGGGCGTTGGCGTGGGGGTGTCACGTGACCAGTGACCCATCCTCTCCAGCTTCCCAGTGCTGCCAAGTGGGGAGTGTCTTCCTGCTTCATTCTCTGCCCAGATCCAAGGCCACAGGCCATGCAGGCCAGGCCCAGGGAGCCGCCTGGCACCTCCTGAGTGACAGCACAGTAGTATGCTCTGTTTTATCCTCAGAACCTGCGCTTCCCCTTGGCAGTGAGGTGGAGACACTCCCTCTAGAGTGACTTTGTTCCTGCAGTTTTAACTGGTCTTAGGGGTGTCGGGAGGAAGGGACAGAGCTGCTGAAGTGGTAGGGCCAAGAGGACACCCACACCCTGCAGCGTGGCCTTCGATCCAGATGTTAGGGACCATGCCTGTCATTTGTGGGTGCCCTTTGTGACTGTGTGTCTGAAGAGTCTGAACTGTTGTGACCTTTTTTTTGGTCAATAAAGACATGAAATAAACTTCTGAGTCTTGAGGCCTTCAGTATGTTTTCCAACACTGCGAGCTCCTTGTTTCCCCGGTCGCCGTTGCCCTTCATGTTCCTCAGAGCGCTCTCTGGGAGGAACTTCACCTTTTCTAGCAGTGCTTCCCGAAGTCCTGGGGCTCCTGCCTCCTTCCCCTCACATTCATTTCACTGAATCTGAAAGGACCCAAGAGTGCTGAGGAACAGAAGGTGGGGACAGATGGGCGACCCACCAAGGAGCTGGAAAGGCAGAGGGAGGGGTATGAGGTGGTTTTTTTGTTTTGTTTTGTTTCAATATATCTTTATTGATTTCAGAGAGAGGAGGGGACAGAGAGAGAGAGAGAAACATCAATGATGAGAAAGTTGTCATTGATCAGCTGCCTCCTGCACACCCCCAACGGGGGTTTGAGCCCACCACCCGGGCATGTGCCCCGACCGGGAATCGAACCTCGATCTCCTGGATCCTAGGTCAATGCTCAACTGCTGAGCCACGCTCGGCTGGGCAAGGTGGTTTTTAAGGGAGAAAGCCTTCCTGGGAGAACGGGTGAGTAGGTTGCCCATTTTCTCTGCAAGGTAGAGGGTGAGTGAGAAATGGGAGGAAAATCCAGTAACCAAGTGAGGGACCACTCAAGGCACCAGGCTGGGTGTGGAACCCTCAGAAGGCCTTAGGTAGTCCCCCCTGTAGGAAGACGACTGTACGTAATGATCCAGCACAAGGTACAAGGTGACATTAGCCAGGGCCCACAACACGACACGGAGGCCACAGCAGTTAGGCTGTGGAGAAAGGAAAGGGCCTGGTGACACAGGTGTCACAAGTGTACTGACTGCAAGACGCAGTTGCTCCCAGGACCAGAAGTGCAGGGAAGAGGTTAGGATTATTAAAATGAGGCTCAGGGGAGGGGCCCTGTGCAGGAGGAGATGCCATCTTGGGCTCAGTAAGGCTGGGTCTAGGAGAAGAGAAAAACTGAAAGAAACTGTGGAACCAGCTACTGCTGCCCAGACGAGCTGCACTGCTGTGGTGGCTCAGCTAGAGCCTCACCCCGTGTACCACAAGGTTGCGGGTTCAATTCCCGATCAGAGCATGTATGGGAGGCAACCAATCAATGCTGCTCTCACATCGATGTTTCTCTCTCTCTTCCTCTTTCTCTCTTCCTGTCCCTCTCTCTAAAATCAATAAACATATATCCTCGGGTGAGGAGAAAAAAATAAATAGATAAATAAAAATAAAGATCTTTTCCTCTCCCCAACAGGAAGCAGCACAGCGCAACAGTCATTGTTCTGGGTTCTGAGAGTCACATCTATTACTCCTCAAATTGGCTTGGTGGGTTGGACACCACCAGGTTTGTGGTGGGCAGCTCAGGCTATATGGTCACTGGATGGCCTGTAGTTAGATAACAGAAGCTGTATCTCAAAAAGAGAAGAGTTAATCTGCAAAAGAAGGCGTGGACCTGTCCCCAAACCCTGGAACTCTGCATGCTGACTCTCCAGTGAGGGCTCGCTGGCAGATCCGTGCAGCACCAGCATTCGGACCAGGTCATCTGAGTGTTGCTGAGTCTGCTCAGTCATAAAGCCCAGGTGGCAGCCGAGAGCTACATTTTTAATAAGAATCATACCACACATTTTTATCAGTAAAGCTCGCCACTGGAGTGAATTGTTACTCCATTAAGCCAGTTTAATTCCTTGATTGCTTTTCTATACAGTGAGATTAAATCATTCCCAAGTTTCCTATTTTCATTTTTACTTAAAAATATTTTCATTGAAATTGTTGTTTTCCATGTGATTATATGGTAGAAATTTAATTCATTTTAACTAATTATAGCTTTTGCCCTTATGAGCTTTCTTTTGAGGCTATTATCTCCTCCATGTTTATTTGCCCCTAGCTAAATCTGGCAGCTCAAAAATCTAAGTTTCACCCGGCCGGCGTGGCTCAGCGGTTGAGCATCGCCCTAGGATCCAGGAGATCTCGGTTCGATTCCCGATCAGGATACATGCCTGGGCTGCGGGCTCGATCCCCAGTAGGGGCATGCTGGAGGCAGCAGATCAATGACTCTCTCATCATTGATGTTTCTATCTCTCCCTCCCTCTCCTTTCCTCTCTCTGAAATCAATAAACATATACATATATATTTTTTAAATATATATCTTTTATTGATTTCAGCGAGGGGAAGGGAGAGGGAGAGAGAGAGAGAGAGAGAAATATCAACGATGAGAGAGTCATTGATCGGCTGCCCCCTGCTGGTCCCCGACTGGGAACTGAGCCCGAAACCCAGGCATGTGCCCCGACCGGGAATCAAACCCTGATCTCCGATCTCCTGGGTTCTAGGTCGATGCTCAACCACTGAGCCATGCCCGGCTGGGCCAATAAACATATTTTTTAAAAATAAAATAAAAATCTAAGTTTCATAACTTTTTGAAGCAAGAGAGTGATATATGGCAAACTTATCAGGGCATTTGTCCTGTTGAGTGGGTAAGACTGGGAAGCAGAAAGACTGCCAAAAAGCTCTTAGAGTAATGACTCTCTCTTCAGTTTTCCTCTTTCCTTTTCTCCTCCTGAGGGTCAGAACCAGAGCAGGAAGCAACAGTCTTTAGGATCACAAATCTGATAATGTTTGGATCATTCAACTTTAGACCAAGAGGGGGCCTTGAAATACCATCTCCTACCACAACCCTATTGATTCACAAGAGAAGATCCATGGCCCAGAGAGACTGAACAAACTGCCCGAGATCCTACTGCCACTGAGTTGCCATTTTCCCCCTCTGGTTGGTAATACGAGTCCCTTCAGTCCACTGCAAGTGGCCTCAGGTGCAGTGGTGACTCTGCCTCCTGGGGTGAAGGCTCTGGAGTGAAGAGTGGCCCGTGGGCAGGCAGAACGCATCAGCACCGCAGCAAGGCCAGTGGTGCACATCACACCCTTTCCCCTGCTGACATCACAAGCAGGGTACTGGGGCTGGTGGCACTTGAATTGTGACGTCAGGAAGCAAAATTGCAGGCAGTCTTCCAGAGGGGGGGCCGACTTGATAGGGAGACCGCAAAACACAGCCAGAGACAGGTGAGAAGGTGGTCATCAGACCCACAGAGGGGGGCCCGCGGGGCCGTTGGGAGCCCTCCCGGCAGCTAGTGAAGTGGGACCGGGGGCAGGGCCCTGCTCCTGAGTGCCCAAGGGTCCTTTTCCCTCCCACACAGGGCAGCCAAGTTCTGGCTCCAACATGCAGAGAGTTTCAGGTAAGTATCCGCGCATCCCACCTTTCTCTCGATGGGCCAAGGAAGTGGTTCCTCTCCCTTCTCATGTGACTGCTCTCTGCCATCCACTCTCTCGCCCAGGATTTGTTCCAGGAATTAGGGCTGGGACAAGAGCACAATCCCCGACTCATGCCCCCCGTATGGGTTGGCCGATGACACGGTCCCTGGGCAGACAGCTGCCTCCTAAGAGAAGTGTTGTACCCTCAAAGGTCCCCAGCTCCTGCCTAGGCTTCTGCATGGCTTTGCTCTGTCTTCCCAGAGCCAGTCCAGGACCACGCCCCAGCCCCGCAGCCTCCTGCCCAGCCCTCCGGATCTCCGCAAGGCCAGCTCCTGACGAGCAGCAACAGCAGTCCCTGCAAGTTTGAGGACCAAGTCCTCTGTCCCATTTGCCTGGAGGTGTTCCACAGTCCCGTCACCACCGCCTGTGGCCACAACTTCTGCATGACCTGCCTCCAAGGTTTCTGGGACCACCAGGCGGCCACCGGCGAGACATTCTCCTGCCCCCAGTGCCGAGAGAGCTTCCCCTCCAGGCCGCGCCTCTGCAAGAATGTCACCCTGGGGGAGATGGTGACCTGCTTCACCCAGGCCAAGAGCCAGACCTCAGAGTCCTCATGCAACCTGACTGGGCCCAGGGATGTGCCCTGCGACTTCTGTGCCCCCCAGAAGCTCAAGTCCGTCAAGTCGTGCCTGCAGTGCATGGCCTCCCTGTGTGAGAGGCACCTGCGCAGCCACTCGGAGGACCAGGCCTTCCAGGACCACCAGCTCCTGGAGCCCCTGTGGGATTTCAAGAGCTGCTTGTGCCTGAAGCACCGCAAGCTCCGGGGGCTGTACTGCCGCAAGGAGGGCTGCTGTGTGTGCGGGAACTGTCTGCTGGAGGAGCACCAGAACCATGACGCCATCCCCCTGCGGGAGGAGCGCGCCGTCAAGGAGGTGAGGCTGGGGCAGGGCCAGAGCAGGTCGGAGCCAGGGGCCTCCTAGTTCTGAGTCTTTTGGGGAGCGGCCCTCTCCCTCCAGCCCCTCCCCCCCTTCCTTGGGGGCAAATTCTGCAGCTGTTAAAGTGATGGTCCCAAGCGTCAAGCTGCGACATGAAACGGGCAGGCAAGTTAAATGAACACGGGTCAACAACAGCAAAGCCCTCCCTGTGTTCTCAGGGGTTGGAGCGTCACCCGAGCACCAAAGGGTCTCGGGTTTGATTCCCACCCGGTCATGGGCTCGCACCTGGGTTGCAGGTTCAATCCCCCTGTGGTGTGGAGGCAACTAATCAATGGGTGTGTCTCCTTCCCCTTCCCTCCCCCCTTCCACTCTCTTTAAAAATCGATGGAAAAAATATCCTCGAGTGAGGATTAACCAAAAAAATGCATAAATAAAATAAGGATCCAACATCGTATGTATGAATCCTATGACCAACTTTTTTTTTTTTTTTTGCAAAGAAGGCTGAAAGAAAACATCAAAATACAAACACATCCCTGTATGTTCAGACACTGTCGAGTATATTCCATAGCAGTGCTGTTCCAGCACAGCCCCCTGTAATGGTCCGTGGCCAGGAGCTCCTTCGGGAACGCAAACCAGCTCATCACACTGCTCTTTTCCTGGCAAGACTCTCTCGGTGAAGAAAGCAGTGAGCTGATTTACTGTCTGGCACGAACTTGTTTAGCTGCAAGTCAGCAACAGTTCCTGGACAGGCACTTGGAACAGCACAGTTCTCTGATATATCATAAAACGTGAAAATGCCAGCGGCTGGGTAGGTGGAGCCCACAGGCTTATGTAGAAGGGCTGGGCCTGGCAGTGCTGCCCCAGGGAGCCCAGGAGTCCATATCTGATGTGCCCTTTTGCCACCCACTGCTTCCCAGGTTTCTCAAGCTGCTGATCCCTCCATAACCCCTTGTGACCTGAAACCCAATGGTCATTACTGTCAGGAGCAGAGGCTGGCTCCTAAAAATAGGGAGAGAGACTCTCAGGGAGTGAGACCAAGCGCAGAGGGGTGAGCCCTTGGCCGACTCCCCCGACAGCTCTGGTTTGTCTTAGTCTCGTTCTCACTCAAACCCTTCAGAATGTAAGAGGTACATCTCTTCTGGGCTTGAACGTGGGGCTGCTTGCAGAAGAGCTTCTCCTACGTGCCCCCTCTCAATCAGGGCCCTCTCCTCCTCCCACCCTGTCACCCCAGGTCGAGGTGCGGCAGGTCCAGGCCAACGTGGAGAACCAAATGCTAATGATCACCTCCGAAAGCCAGAAGCACCGGGAGCAGGTGGCCTTTCTCTTGGTAAGGTTGCCCGCCCTGCCCCAGGCCCAGGCTTCTCCACCAGGCTGAGGGGACTCTCAGGGCCTGGAATGGATGGGGTGGGGCCAGGTAGACTGAGACAGGATGCCTAGGCGGGCTCTGGGCCACGACAATGCAAGTACCGGGGTGGGGCTCAGAGATGCCTCCCTATACACCCTCCCACGCCCACCCCCAGAAACTAATCCAGACAACACGAGATGAGGTGAACTCCTGCTTCTCAGAGATCGTCCAGGAAGTGAAACAGCTGCAGGTGAAGGTCTTGGGTTTTGTGGAGAAAGAGAAGGCAGCTGCCCTGGAGAAGCTGGGCAGCTCCATCCAGCAGAGCCACAACCGGCTCCTGAAGCTGGAGGGGGACAGCATCTGGCTGCGCACCCTACTCACCAACCCGAATGACCAGCAGTTCCTGCAGGCAAGACCCTGCCCCAGGCCCTGTCACAACCGCCACTCCTCCTCCACCCACAGATGCACCAGGCGTGGCCAGACCTGGGAATTAGTGATCAGTGTTTGGGGTGGTGTCACTTATCCACTCCCCCGCCTGAGAGAGCGGCCTGTCTGAGGTCATCCGTCCTGAGCTTACACCAACACCCTTGGCTCCCTCCACCTCAGTGCTCAGCCTTATCCTAATGTTCCTGCCTTCCTTTCCCTGGATCAGATGGGTGCAACCTAAATTTCTGCACACTCCCCCTGGCAGGGCTGGAAGTGAGACCAGAACAATCTACAGAGCCTGGATTGAAATCCCTTTTCTTTCCTCAGCCCTGGCCTGGCGCCATAGCCTGGTCTGGTGCCACTGCAGGAGGGTACCAGGCAGGGTAGCTGGTGGGGTCATGTGAAGGTTGGGGGTGGCAGCCTTCTCTGTGGGTGCCGCCCCAGCCCTGTGCTTGGAACTCCTAGCACAGCTCTCCTTTCTTCAGCACCCTCACACCCCTGAGCAGACTTCTAGGGCTGTTAATCACCTTGTACCACACACAGCAGGGAGTCTTTGGCAAGGTTTTTCACTAAGCAATTAGAGACTCAAAGGAAATCCTCCCAGCATCATTTCCTAAAAATCACTCTGTTTAATGCACTAGGCCAGGTCTTTGGCAAAGCCCTAATCTACGATGTCCAAACACCAGGAGCTGGGGAGAGAGGTAGCCAGGTTTGAGAGTGGGCAGCTTCTCCACCTGCCCCATGCTTCTAGGCACCACCAAGCCCCTGGCATAAGCAGGAGCTCCTGGCATCTGCTTGGGCCCTGGTGAAAGGTGGTATCACTGCCCCTCCTTGCATGCAGGAGTTCCCCAGGATCAAGCACTTGCAAGACTGCACAGAACCCCTAATGGGCACCAACTGTGAGGAGAAGCAGAGCTTCCTCCAGCTGCCTGAGACCCTGGCGGAGCTCCGGCGCCGGCTGGTGGACATGGGTCTCAGCTTCATCAACCAGCTCCTCCTGAAGGGTCAGTACCTGGCGGCCCGGGGTCACTGAGACTCATCTGCATTCTGGGGGTGGGACAGACCTGCAGGGCAGTGGTTGGAGTTCCGTGAACTTGCAGAGGGCCCTGCCTGCCCATGTGCACCTTCTCCAGGTGACACAGCCTCCTGGAAGCCCACGCCTCTCTCTCCAGAAGGATGCTGGCCTGTGACAGTGTCCTCAACAAAGCCCCTCCATCTCCTCCAGGCATTAAAATGAACTCCTATGAGGTGCTGCCCCCAGCCGTGGATAGGAAAACACTTCTCAAGTGTGAGTGCTCAGTACCGGGGTCCAACCCCAGGGGTGGGAAGGAAAGGAACAGGGCCCCTTGGTGCCTCGACTTCCCCAGCTCCACTTTCATTCAGGCCAGGGCTCTCTCTTGCCTTGGGACTGGAGACCTCAGAAGGACTTGGCCTGTGACTCCAAGGCCCTGGTAGGAAAGAGAGAAGACTCCATCCTGTCCTACCCCATGGTGGGGCAAGGCCTCACTCACTGCCCAGGGGCCAGCTCTGCAGCTTCCCTGGCCCCTCAGCCGGGTACCTGCCGACCTCCCCTGGGCTTTAGCCAAGCCAGTTTGGCAGACCCTGCCCATTTCTTCCTCAATCTCCCTTTCTATTTGATGTTCCCACAGCCCCTCCTCTTTCAGGCTGGGCTGGGGGCCAAATCCTGAAGGCGCCTCTAATATCTCCAGGGTCAAGGTTGCATTGCCTTTGGCAAAACCCCTCTGAGTGACCTCCTCCGGGAGCCCTTGACTCTCCCTCAGGGCCACTCAATCTTGAGTCCTGAATAAATAAATAAAAAGGGAGGTTATGTAAGGGTCTGGTGAGAGCACGGAGGGAGACTCAGCTCTCAGCTTTTCTAGAAAGGTGGCCTTGGGACAGCACCCAACTCATCCTTCCTCCAGACTATGTCAGCACCCCCCCCCCC